TCTCCTCCTCCTCTCTCTCTCCTCCTCCTCCTCCTCCTCCTCCTCCTCCTCCTCCTCCTCCTCCTCCTCCTCCTCCTCCTCCTCCTCCTCCTCCTCCTACTCCTCCTCCTCCTCCTCCTCCTCCTCCTCCTCCTCCTCCTCCTCCTCCTCCTTTTTTCTGTTCCTCTTCCTCCTGCAATGTTTCATCTGTCCATCGTTCGCTCAACCTCTCCCAGGTGCTGATTTTATCGGCCTCGTCTTTGCCAAGGGCTCCCCTCGAGAGGTAGCATCCTCCTCTCTCTCTCCTCGTCTCTTCCCGTCCTTGTCATTTCCTCCCTCTTTGTCTTTTCTTTCAATTGCTCTACTCCATTTCTCCTCTCCTTCCGGTTTTCTCACTATCTTCCCTTCCTCCACTCTCCTCTTGCTTTCTCCGCTCCTCTCTTTCCTCCTGTCTTTCCCTCCTCTCTCCTCCTCTCCTCCTCTCCTCCTCTCTCCTCAAACCTTCCGCAGGTCTCGCTGGAGGAGGCGAAGCGTATCGTCTACTCCATCCGTCACAACGGATGTCGAGCGGATCAGCCGAGCAAGAGGCAGAAGACGAGCCTCAGGTTCACCAGCCAAGACGTCAGGAAGCCCCTCTCCCTCTCCCTCTCCCTCCTCCTCCTCCTCCCTCCTCTCCTCCTCCCTCTCCCTCTCCCTCTCCCTCTCCCTCTCCCTCTCCCTCTCCCTCTCCCTCTCCCTCTCCCTCTCCCTCTCCCTCACGCTGCGGCAAGGTCTTGAGGCTCTTCCTAGTGAACTCCATAGGGTTCGGCCGATGAAACCCGGGAGGCTTCCCAATGCTCGTCGTCATGGACAGCGACGTCATCGACTTCTTCATCCTCCAGTGCTCCTCCTCCAGCTGGCGAGTGAAGGCGGACTTGAACAGGTTCCCGTTCTCATCGTAGAGGGTCGAAGGGTCGGGAGGAGGCAGCGTCCTGTTGAGCCCTGCCGGGTGATGGGGCCAGGGAGAGGAAACTTCCTCCTCCTGTACGAGCGCCTGCGGGAGTTTTCATCACCTCCTCCTGCGCAATGGTAGTGACAGCAAGGAATTCTTACCTGCCATGGGATCGGCGTCGCTGACTGCACAAGCTTCTCCCTCTGCCGGCTCGGCAGCTCATCCCACTTGAACAAGGTTCCTGAGGCGTTGGCTCCTCCACAGAGCTGAAGGAAGACCGTCATTCATACGGTGTGAGAGGAGCCTCTGGAGAAAGTGCAAGTGGGCGAGGGGGGGATGGGATGGGGGGAGGAGTGAAGGAGTGAAGGAGTTCAAAGATAGGGAAAGGTCCGACGAGGAGTCTGAGATTTTGAGGACAAGAGAATGCCCAGTGACAGACTGGGACGTCTTACCGTCCTGCTGAAGATCGGTCCGTTGATCCCTCTCGCCCAGTCCTCGTCCTGGAGTTTCAGGTACTTCCCCTGCGCATGAGGCTTGCAAGACAAGGACGACATCCTCGGCTAGGAGAGAAGAGGCTGCAGACAAGAAGAAGAGGAAGAGGAAGAGGAAGGGGATGAAGTGGAGGAAGTGGAGGAAGTGGAGGAGGAGGAAGAGGAGGAAGTGGAGGAAGTGGAGGGACGGGAGCAGGAGCGTCAGTTATTCTGCCATAGCGCCTAGTCAAGTAACTGTTGAGATTCGCTGCCCTCAGTCCTCGGCGTCACTTGCAATAGGAGACCAAGTGCTGTCCTTCGCTGCCTTTCTTCTATCTAGTCGATGGGGTAATTCTTGTTGCTGTCCTCAATCCTTGCTATTTTATTTGTTTACTTGTTGACTAAAAGCGAAGGGGCATGCACTGACATACTGGAATGCTCGAGTAGGTGAGGACGAGGAGAGAGGAGAAGAGGAGAGGAAGACAAGACAGAGGAGAGCCAAGACAGCTACGAGACTCCCTGCTCCCGCGTGTGCAGGACAACAGCAGGAAGCCCAAGAGCCCTCGACACATCCTTCTCACCATCCTGCTCTATTTTCGCTGAGCTCCAAGCTCGCCCCGCGCAGGCATGTCAGCTCAACAGGACAAGCATGGGGAGCTGCCGACCATGGAGGATCAGATCAACGCCGTTGGCTTCGGCAGGTTCCACATCCTGGCCGTCACGACTTTCATCCTCTTCATCATCAGCGATGGGATGGAGCTGGTGGTGACCAACGTGATATGGAGAGCGATGCCCGTCGAGGAGTGGGGAGGAGACGACAGCATGAGGGCGCTTCTAGTGTCGCTGTCGTTCTCGGGCTTCGTGGTCGGGGCGATCATAGGAGGACAGCTGGGCGACACTTTCGGGAGGAAGCCGATCCTCTACGCTCACACCATGGTGTTCGTGCCCTTGTCCATCGCATCCGCCACGTCGGAGAGCTTCTACCAGCTTGCGGTCACGCGCTTTCTGATCGGCATATCCATGGGGCTGGTGCTGCCGACCTCTGTCGCGCTCATGGCAGAGCTCTCTCCCTGTAACGTCCGCTCAAGGCTCATCCTTCTCATCCCTGGGTTGGCATACGCGGTAGGTCAGGTGATTGTGCTGACGGTAGGGATCGTGCTGATGGGGTACTACGGATGGAACTGCGAGAAGTGCAGCTGGTGGCGAGGGATGCTGGTCGCAGGAGTCGTGCCAGACGTCGTGGCCGTCCTGATGGTGTACCTCTACATCCCGGAGTCCCCCAGATTCTTGCTGTCGCAGGGTAGGACCGCGGAGGCTGAAGCGATCATCAGGAGCATCGCCGAGACCAACGGGACAGAGTCGCAGCTTCTCCATCAGGGAGCCATCAGGCCCGTCAAGGAGGAGCACGACAAGGCAGAGGCGAGCATGGAGGCTTGGCAGCTGATGGGGGAGCTGTTCAAGCCTCCCATGAACAGAATCCTTCCTCTGGTCGTGGGGATCTGGAGCTTGCTGGCGGTCGGTCTGTTTAGCCAGTCGTTCGCGTACCCTGTGCTGCTGGAACGAGATCCCACCATCACCGCCTTCGACCAGTACTGGCTGATGATCCAGCTTGCTTTCATCGAGATCCCGGGGCTGGTGGTGCTGATATGGGCGCTGGAGGGGACGCACGTGGGGAGGAGAGAGATCCTGCTCGTGCTGTCGCTTGCCTCTGTCGTGGTCGCCGGCATCATGATCATGATCTCCGACAAGGGGACGACGTGGCTTCACCTGGGAAGCATGGGGCTGAGGCTCATGGTGGTACTGCCCTACGAGGCCATGTACATCTTCGCGGCAGAGCTTCTTCCTACGTCGCATCGCAACCTGGGCCTGTCGCTGGGCAACGGGGCGACGAAGCTGGTCGCAGCGCTGATGCCGCTGGTACTCATGCCTCTCATTCACTTGTGGGGGGCTTCGGTCTTTCTCGTCATCCTGCTGGCGGAGGTGCTGGCTGCGGTAAGCCGTACTTGCCTGTGTGCGAGCAGCTTCTGACTGCGAGGTCAAGGTTCTCGTGTGGGTCTCGCCTCACACCGACGACGTCTTGTACGACTGCGTGGAAGAGATGCCCAAGACGGTGGTGAGTAGCTGTTGCCTCGGTGGCATGGGGACTCGGGCGGGGTGGGGTCTGACCTGGCCGGGCAGAACGAGTCGGCGCCGCTTCTGCCCAAGGACGCAACGGTGTAGGTGAAAGGATAGGGCTCGTGGGCTACGTATCAGGCCTGGTCTTAGTTTGACAAGATGGACGGACGCTTGGATCCGTCGTGGGACTGAATCACTCAATTCAAAGAACGCATCACTTTTATTCATGAGCAATGCCTCTTGTAAATTCTGAGCTATGGCAGTAACACTCAATCTGCTGTGCTTTACTGCCCTTGGATATCAAAGGAGTACTCCCGAGGACTGTAAGGGGCTGCCCATTTTACTGCGCGGCCCTGACCCTCACCCTGGCTTCATTCACTTGGCCAAGTCCGGGGATTCCTGTATTTTACTTCCCTGCCTGCTCTCGCTTGCTTTTGACTCTGCAGCCGCCTTGAAGGAGGGCCTCCACCCACTTGTCCCTCGAACTTATTGTGTGACAGCTGAAAAGTACTTCGCTGTCGTCGACACAAACATTCCCAGCCATCAGCCCAACAGCGAAGGTGGGGGGTTTGCTGGGGTATGAAGCAACATACGATTCTTCAAGGTAGACGAAACCCATCTGCACCTTGTAATCGTTACCTCCGAAGATCGAGAGGAGCATCCTGCCCCTGCCGGATTCGATGGTGCACTTAACCTTTTCTGGACGCTGAGCGCCCTTCTTGGTTCGCATCTCTACCACACCATAAACGCCTTCACAATCGGATCTGGCCGACAATCTTCTGCTAGGCTGTTTCCCCTCTGATTCCCGTTGAATCCTCTGCGGGCGACTGCTGGAGCAAGAACCGGCGCGCTCTTTGTGATGACCAGCAGCAGGGGCTGATAGATCTTTGAAGGTTTCTATGAGCTCTTCGTGACTGATATACTGCTTTGGAGTGGTGTCCGGCGACCTGTAACTCAAGAAAGCAGCTTGAAGTTGTAGCCTCATCAGGTCCAGCTCGCAGGCAGACAGCTGCGAAACGGACCCAGGGGCAGGAGGGCAGCGGTTCGTTGGAAGGACACCTGTTGAGTCTGAAGCTTCAGCAGTTGTTGGATATTCCAACTTGAAATCACTGGGATCCGAAGAAATCCTGTCGCAATCCTCACCCGGAGGAGGCGAATATTGCACCTTGTCATCGCCATCGGGCACTGTCACATATGAGTAGAGATATTCTGCATGGAGCATAACAGCACTCATACTCAATCGAATCAATTCTTTTCTTCACGGATTGTTGGATTGTCCCATCAACACTGCAAGGGGAGGTTCGGAAAGTTGCTCCGTAGAATTACAACAAGAACACTTGCGAGGGCTTCTGCTGGAATAAGTCTATGTGATCTCTTGTTAGGAACACGGCGACTGATGGCAGTGACAAGGGAGGGTCCTGTCTTCATCAACAGAGGACAAACTTAAGACGTAGCGATCCTCCCCCTCCCTGATGTTCCGCGCTCCGACGGATGAGAAGGCGATAATCGGAGCTTTTATCCCTACAAACTCTTTTATATCCTCATGAAATCAAAGTAGATTTTCTCGGAATCCTATCTGAAAATTTCATTTCTCACCATAGAATTTGATTATTCAATAATGCCCCCGTTAAAATGAAGAGGCCGCCTATAGTACCGTAGTACCGTACTGCACTACCGGCCGTACCACCGGCGGTAAGGAAGGCAGGTCAATATGACACAGCAAAGCACTTGTAGACGTGTCTGATGACCGAAGGTTCTGATCGTCGTACCGTACTGATTTTTAACTTAACTTTGAGTAAAGGTCTGATCGTGTTGAAAGGCTCCTGGTACTACGGTACTAGTACTTTCTGACAGTGATGTTACGGCGTGCCGTGCCGTCACCCGATCGGACGGTGAGTTCAGTTGGATCCGACCGGCGGATTCGAGCATGACCCCGGATCGCCCGAGGCCCTCACGCCGGGCAGCCTATTTTTAACTTAAATTTGCGGAATAAAGGAAGCGCTGCTGAGTCGGATCGCTCCGGCGGCGAAGGCTTGGCGGATGCGGATCGGATGGCCCTGCGCGCAATGAAGTCGGAAGGTACGGTATCAGTTATCTTTTGTCTTCTCGCCGTCACTGCGCCACGGTTTGGCCTGTGCGACAGTGACCGTCAGGGTCAAGCCTCTGAGTAAACCGTGATGATTCTTCAGTCTCTGCCGGCACCGGCGGCGCCCGGCCGGGCCCGGGGGCCCGGATGCTCAGGACGGTCCGACGCGCCGCGACGGTGAGAGTCACTCACCGACTTTTCTTCAAAGCGGTTAAAAGTCATATAGATCGGTTTCAAGCTTTGAAGTGATTGCTGAAAGTTTACAACTTTCCTCACAAGATTTGGGCATTCCTCAAGTTGAATTTGAATTTTACCGAAGTTAACACTTGCAAAAGGTCAACTTGACCTCGGCCCCTTCACATCATCCGCTAATTGAAAAGGGACGAACCCATGGCAGCATATGATAGAGCTTGAAAGATTCAACAACACATATGCAGACAAGACAGAGGAGAAGAGAACAACAGCAGGAAGCCCAAGAGCCCTCGACACATCCTTCTCCTCTCACCATCCTGCTCTATTTTCGCTGAGCTCCAAGCTCGCCCCGCGCAGGCATGTCAGCTCAACAGGACAAGCATGGGGAGCTGCCGACCATGGAGGATCAGATCAACGCCGTTGGCTTCGGCAGGTTCCACATCCTGGCCGTCACGACTTTCATCCTCTTCATCATCAGCGATGGGATGGAGCTGGTGGTGACCAACGTGATATGGAGAGCGATGCCCGTCGAGGAGTGGGGAGGAGACGACAGCATGAGGGCGCTTCTAGTGTCGCTGTCGTTCTCGGGCTTCGTGGTCGGGGCGATCATAGGAGGACAGCTGGGCGACACTTTCGGGAGGAAGCCGATCCTCTACGCTCACACCATGGTGTTCGTGCCCTTTTCCATCGCATCCGCCACGTCGGAGAGCTTCTACCAGCTTGCGGTCACGCGCTTTCTGATCGGCATATCCATGGGGCTGGTGCTGCCGACCTCTGTCGCGCTCATGGCAGAGCTCTCTCCCTGTAACGTCCGCTCAAGGCTCATCCTTCTCATCCCTGGGTTGGCGCATGTAGCAGGACAAGTTACTGTGCTGACGGTAGGGATCGTGCTGATGGGGTACTACGGATGGAACTGCGAGAAGTGCAGCTGGTGGCGAGGGATGCTGGTCGCAGGAGTCGTGCCAGACGTCGTGGCCGTCCTGATGGTGTACCTCTACATCCCGGAGTCCCCCAGATTCTTGCTGTCGCAGGGGAGGACCGCGGAGGCTGAAGCGATCATCAGGAGCATCGCCGAGACCAACGGGACAGAGTCGCAGCTTCTCCATCAGGGAGCTATCAGGCCCGTCAAGGAGGAGCACGACAAGGCAGAGGCGAGCATGGAGGCTTGGCAGCTGATGGGGGAGCTGTTCAAGCCTCCCATGAACAGAATCCTTCCTCTGGTCGTGGGGATCTGGAGCTTGCTGGCGGTCGGTCTGTTTAGCCAGTCGTTCGCGTACCCTGTGCTGCTGGAACGAGATCCCACCATCACCGCCTTCGACCAGTACTGGCTGATGATCCAGCTTGCTTTCATCGAGATCCCGGGGCTGGTGGTGCTGATTTGGGCGCTGGAGGGGACGCACGTGGGGAGGAGAGAGATCCTGCTCGTGCTGTCGCTTGCCTCTGTCGTGGTCGCCGGCATCATGATCATGATCTCCGACAAGGGGACGACGTGGCTTCACCTGGGAAGCATGGGGCTGAGGCTCATAGTGGTGTTGCCCTACGAGGCCATGTACATCTTCGCGGCAGAGCTTCTTCCTACGTCGCATCGCAACCTGGGCCTGTCGCTGGGCAACGGGGCGACGAAGCTGGTCGCAGCGCTGATGCCGCTGGTGCTCATGCCTCTCATTCACTTGTGGGGGGCTTCGGTCTTTCTCGTCATCCTGCTGGCGGAGGTGCTGGCTGCGGTAAGCCGTGCTTGCCTGTGTGCGAGCAGCTTCTGACTGCGAGGTCAAGCTTCTCGTGTGGGTCTCTCCTCACACCGACGACGTCTTGTACGACTGCGTGGAAGAGATGCCCAAGACGGTGGTGAGTAGCTGGTGCCCCGGTAGCATGGGGACTCGGGCGGGGTGGGGTCTGACCTGGCCGGGCAGAACGAGTCGGCGCCGCTTCTGCCCAAGGACGCAACGGTGTAGGTGAAAGGATAGGGCGCGTCGGCTGCGGTGTCAGGCTGAGAAGATCGTGACTGTCTGTGACATAACTAAAACACTTGATACGGCCCGGCCTGAGCGGCACTGGGTGAGCGCCTGGCGCCGTGCCCGGCAGTCACGAGTCGCGCGCCGCTGGCCCGGTTCAGAGAGGCCCCCGGGCGGGCACGGCCCGGCAGTCAGGGCACTGCTGAGGCGGGCTCTGGGAGGCGGGGTCAATCTTGAAAGGGGTTGGCCAGTTACACTTTGTGGAGGAATAGAATGGGCGGACAAGCTCTGCAGGGAGTGGGAGCGAAGAGGCAGGAGGAGGGCTGCTGAAGGAGGAGAAGGGAGGGCAGTGAAGGTTTCAAGACGCAAGAGTAGGTGCTAGGGTCTGCTTCACGCCAGGGACGAGATGCTGGAGTGGCTAAAGCAGAGAGTCATCGCTTGGCTCCTCTCTCGCCATGTGGGTAGGTGGATCATGGTGGACCGCAACAACCTGCACAGTGACACCTCGGGCGCGGTGTGGAGGCTCGTTGCAGAGGATCTCCTGATCCGAAAAGATTGCCTTGATGGTATGGGACTCCCATTTCGAGTTCAAAGTGGATTGGTCAGGAATTTCACAATCGATTGGCACAAAGAGCAGAGTGTGATCTTTTCCGTGGACACCGTTCATGTCTCCCTGGAGACATGTGACGTGAGGGATATTTCCAAGGAAGAGGCGGAGGAGAGGCAGCTATCAAGCAAGCTGAAACTGCTCGATGAATGGGAAATGCAGCTTGACGACAGCATCTCAAAGAAGCAGGACGCTGAAACATCGCAGAGTGAGCCCGACGAGAATGTCCCGAAGATGTATCGAGCTTTTCTTGACAAGCTTGAAGTCAGAGTGAGCAATGTACATCTCTCGTTTCAAGATTCAACACGTGGAACAAAATATGGGATGGTCATCGAGAACGTCTCCTTCGAGAACAGTGAAGGTCTAGACCTCGCCACCGGGTTTGCCGAGCATATCCAGAAGATGATCTCCCTGCTTGGCTGCAGCATCTACGTAGACACACTCTCGTCTGAGTCAAAGACAAACCCTCTGAGTGAGGAGAAAAACCTCGTCCTGAAACCTCTGAGTGCAAGCTGCTGTATCGGGTATGACCGCCCAAGAGCCAAACCTGACGTGAACAGGCCCAAAGTGACGATCAAGCTGAAAACCCCCGTGTTGAGTGTGACTCTTGATCATGCTCAAGTCGAAAGCTCCCTCTCCCTCCTGACTCTGCTCGAGCGCAAGACAAGCTTCAACGTGTTGGAGGCGGCAAAGCCTTCGGTTCCTGTAGCTCAGAGCCCGAGGTTGTGGTGGAATTACGCGATAGGCAAGGTGGTCGAGGACGTTAAGGAGAGGAGAAAGAGATTCTCTGATGTCTACATGCGTCAACGACGGAGAGATCGACTGGATTATGTAGAGATCTACCTCAAACGCCGGAAGGGGAAATTATGCAAATCGGATGAGAGCAAGTTTTGCCAGCTGGAGAGGAATTACGGGTACTCCGACATTATTTACTTTCGTTGTACTGCTATCTCCCAGTCTAAGATGAGATCACAAGAGGCTGTGTCCAGCAAGAACCAATCGAGATCCTGGATGTCCCGTTGGTGGAGGAGCGGCCCTGTTGACATTCCAGCGGACCCTGAACATCTTGATTCTCCACTGCTGGCCATGTCCAAGGAAGAACGAGATTCTCTGCTCAGAGCTGTCGACGTCGATGCCATCGGACCTGGGGACTCGTACGAGAGTTTCTTCTCGTCGACCAATTCAGACCAGCTGCTCCTCTCGTGCGAGATGGAGCTGAATGCATTCCGGTTAGTAGGCAGGAAGGATTCATTGTTTCATGCTGTCTTCGCCAGTGAAAGCGGATTCATCAACCTCAAGAGAAAGTCCCAGGCATTGGAATTTGAAGCAGAATTGAAGTCTATCAACGTCTTGGATCAAATTTCAGAGTCGCCGGTCTGTTGGGTGTCGACGAGCGGAAATTCTGACTGGCAACCGCTTTTGAGATGTTCTTTCAAGACAGATTGGAGTGAAAGACCGTCGACAGCAAGCTTGACTATCAAGTCAAGCTCAATAGAAGTTGTTGCAGCGAATGATTTCATTCGAAACTTCATTGAGTTCTCAAGTGTGTTTGAAGGTGCTGTTGCGAGTGATATGCACAAGCCGAAGCTCATCACGGACTCGAGAAATGTCGACATCTCTGAAACTGCCATACACGCTGTCCGTGGAATCATTTGGCATCTTGATGTGGATATGCACGCTCCTTCAATCTACATCAGCCCTACAGGTTTGAGCAACATCGGGCAGAACCTGATGTCCATCCGATTTGGACGCTTCCAAATACATCAGGGCGAGGTTGAGGGAACCTCTGCAAGTAGCGGGTACAAACTGCGATTGGAGAACGTGGGTTTGGAAGTGATGTATGACGTGACTCTTTCGGACTCGGAACTCTTCATGCAGTCAAAACGAAGTGTGTTGAACGACACAGGAGTCGAGGGAAGCCTGATCCTGCATCAACACGACCTTCATGGTTCCAAAGATTTCGACTATGTACTTGATTTGAGCGTGCACGATGTGCATCTCAATCTTGACAAAGGTTCCCTCGTTGTCATGCAGTCGATTCTTCGTACTTGCTCGGCAAATGTCACTCTGCACAATGATTTGACCTTTCACGATCTCGATTCTCACTACCTCCTTGTCAAGGGCTTGAAGTCTCAGACTGGCTGGTGCTACAGATACATGTCTGTAGTGAATGGCACTCTTGTGATGCGCACTCAACAACATACTGTCTTCCATGAACAATACACCCTGAAAGATGCAGTTGTCTCATCTGCTTTCGAAGACGGAAATCCGATCATTGTCATAACACCTTCAGCAAACTCTCAGCACAATCAAACATTGAAGCTTTATGCTGGCCATGCACATTCCTCGCTCTTTTCCAAACTTAACAAACTACGAGAAATGTTGAATCCATCAAGAGAATTCTGGACTCCAATGCAGCCTGGATCCCTAGTAACAGATCTTGAAAACTCTAACAAGAAGGCACCTGGGAACGAAGCTTCCAGATTGACCTTTCTCATCCGATCTAAACATGTTGAAGTCACAATAGAAGACCCAGCAGCAGACTCTACTACGGTCAGCCTGAAGCTGAACGACCTGACCTCTACATTGGAGCTGCTAGAGTCGTGTGACTCGTTTGAATTTCAGTTCGAGAACTTGGAGATCGCTCGATACCAGGGAAGTAACCTTGTAAGGGAGTACTTCAGCAGGAGAACCGATCATTCGGACTTCAACTTCGGCTTGTCGGTGAAGTACAGATGGGACAGGGCACGTCATATGCTGCCGGAGACAGAGGTTGACCTATCAGACCATGAGATCAGCATTGATGTCGGTCTGCTCAACACCGTGAGATCCTTGATGGTCCTCCTTCAGAGTACCGATGAGCGCGGTCGGACTTCAGATGAAGGTTTGCAGCACACTCAAGGGAATGTTGGGGCTCCTCGTTTCCAAGTGCCCGCCTCCTTTGTGATAAGCAACACGTCTGACCGTGCACTGACTAGCAGCTCATGCTGGAAAGCCAAAGGGTTGCTAGTCAAACTCCTGGGAGGGGGAGGATTGAGGGAATACTCGCTGTCTATGAACGACTCAAGTTGGGGCACGAGTTTCTTTGGTGATGGAACGATTGAGCTAAAAGGAAAGCTCCAGAGCGTCGAGCTGAAGGATTTGACAGCTCCAGATCATTCTCATGCATCATTTCTCGACGTCCGATCCAAGACAGAGTCGTTTGTGAACTTCGATGTCCAAATCTTTGACCAGCACTCGATCTCATCCTCCATCACAGGGCAAGCATGGAAGCTTTCTATCCACCAGCCCAGACTGACTCTCTTGTGGCGGGCAGTGCAGGAGATCCAGGAGTTCGCCAGGACATTCACAAGTGGCGAGCAATCGCCTCGTGAAGAATCAAAGGACGATGGGAATGCCAACAAGATCGCCGTCAAGCTTGACTTCATTCACCCTGAGATCTACATCCCTCGCAACTCATACCTCGATGAAGGCTTGCTGATCGACCTGGGGCTCTTGCACGTAGAGAACGAGAGCGGTCTGTTGGCTTGGAATCTAGATTTCCGAGAGATGTCACTGTCAACGCTCTTGGACGAAGCTTCGATCACCGCGATCTCTCGGAACTTTGACGTGTCCGCCAAGATATTCCTCTTTCTCGACAAGTCAGCTGACGTTGTTCTTGACCTCAAGACGCGCACCATCGAGGCTGCCATGGACGAAACTCAACTTGCAACCCTGATGTCTGTCCTCGGAGAAAACTTCAGTGAGCGCAGAATCTGTGATGGCGCCGTGAGTTTGGAAGATCAGAACCGTGCACAAGTACAGAGCACACAGGCCAACAAGAAAACCATACAGCGCGACATGATGCGGGTTTCAATCGCAATTCCGCACCTTGACTTTGAGCTGCTCTGGAAGAAAGAGACAAGAGAAACGTTCCTGTCCGTGACAGCCCAATCTGTCGACGTCACCTACTCAGCATTCTACGAGGGTGCTGACCAGCGATTGTATGAATGTCAAGTGGCTCTGGGCAAGGCATTTCTTCTTGACCATGGAGATCCTGAAGCAACGAAGACCATCTTGTCTGTCCCGGCGGAGTCTCTGAGAGCTGGTGATTGCGGAACAGACAATCTCATCTCTTTACAGTTCGTCAAGCATGTCAGTGGGGATATGAAAATCAGCTTCAACTTTGAGCGTGCGGAGGCCATTGCAGACTTGCGGTTGTTGATGCAAGTCATCCGTTGGATCTCAGCTAAGCCCTCTGAGTTCCGAGACTCGACCAACACCATGACATACTCTCGATCGATTGCTGGATCCTTTGCGTTCCGAACAAAGTTCCCAAACGCCAGAGTGTTACTGTACAGCAGAAGAGACGGGAGGAAGCGAGGAACTTTCGATCTCGGGGGAGGCTTCTGCTTCGACTATGAGATGCGGGAGACGGACTCAAGTATGAGCTTCCTGGCTTCCGATGTCTTCATGACCTTGTGCGATGGCGTTCTTGCCGACGTGTCTGACAAGAGTCTGCAAATATTGAAGCCATGCAGCTTGTCAATGACTCGAAGATCGGAGAAGGGCAAGACAGACTCGTCGCTTGTCAACACTCGAACGAGTATCGAGTTTGCCAAGATCAATGCCATCCTGACCTACAGATATGTCATGCTGGGTTTACAGGTCCTCCAATCCTTCCAGGAAGACCTCGTCCCTCCTTCGACAGTTGAGCAGGTGGACGGAACGGGACCTGCCGAGTCAGTGGAAGAAGTTGGCCGACAATTGGAGTCCCTGGAAGTGAAAGGCAGGGATCTTACTATATCGCTCACTGATGACTTCCGCGGACGTTGGATTCCGCTACTGCGTGCAAAGGCACCAAGACTTGAGATGTCGGGCAGTCTGTCGAAGCTGTTGCTCAAGGGAGAACAGCTCATGGTTGACTACTTCCACCACCCGACGTCGCTGTGGAAGCCAGCGGTCGAGCCAGTCAGCCTCGAAATCTCTTATCTCTTCAAAGAGGCCTCGAAGAACTTCGAGCTGCATGTCCAAAGTGTGCAGAGTGAGATTTTGGTACATGTCTCTCGGGCAGGGATCGATTCGATTTACGACTCCATCCTGTCATGGACCAGCGATAAAGCAGGTCAAGAGCTCAAGGATGGAGTTCGATCAGACCAGCACAACTTTGTGCCCTACGTGATCACCAACAACATGGCAGAGACTCTGATTTGCATCTTGCAGGATGGCACTGAGAACCGCCTGAGGAGCAAGGAGAGCTGTTTCCTCTCCTACGAGCAAGTTTGGAGTCGGCGAGACGCTCTGAGCACATATGCAAGGGACTACGACGAGACTGGAATCAGCAACATGGTCTGCCTGCAGCTGGAGGGCACCTCGCAGATCTTCGGGACGATGTCTCTAGAGGTGAGAGTGACAGTTGACTGCGAGCGTGGCTGACGTAGCTCGCAGGCCGAGCAGAGATGCTCGTTCCAAGTCTCGCTGGACGGGGATGAGACTCATTGCTCGATCGTCTGCCAACTGTCGTCCAGAGGAGGACAGAAGACTCTCGTGGTCAACTCTATGGTGTCTCTGCAGAACTTGAGCTCGACGTCGATAGCAGCCGCAGTGTCGGATGGAGCAGACCTCTATGAGCTGGGCTGTTTGAAGCCGAATGAAATCATGTCAGTGCCCACCACGTTTGTCAAGAATGGAACCTTGCTCTTCAAGCCTGTCGATGAAGATTGCCAGTATCAGTGGTGCAATGAGATGTCGGAGGCAGTCAATCTCAAGGCCCTTCAGGATGGCACTTTCCGTCTATTTCAGATGGTCGACACAAGGTTCCAGAAGCTTTTTGGTAGCGAGCTGACGGTGGAGACGAGCTTGATCAACTGGTATGCTTGCGCCAACGACGTCGAAGGTCTGGGACTACGGCAAGGTGTCTTGTACTTGACCAACAACTGCCTTTGCCACTACTCGAACATCATGGGGCTTGAGCAGAAAGTAATCATTCCCTTCTCTGACATCCTTGAGATTTCCAAGTGCTACACCGCCTTTGTGTTCCCGAACGCTATCAAAGTGAGGACGAGGGAGAGAACTTGGCACTTCAGGACCTTTCGGAACCGCGCGGAGACGTTCCGGTCCATTGTCAAGGTGATACCGAACCAGAGCGTTGCGAAGCTGGAGGACGACGTTGACGAGAAAGCCCGTGCTGCGTTTGCGCTTGACGACTCTGACGTCATTCTGTCCATGTACTCTTGCCAGATGCACAAGGACCCGCACATCATCGAGGGCTACGCGCTGATCACAACGTTGCACCTGCTCTTCATGAACTACAGTGCATCCAAACTCATCAAACTTCCCTGGAAAGAGATCTCTGCCATAGAGAAGCGCAAGTCGTTTCTGATACGGAACAACGCCATCTATGCGGCTACCTCCAGCCAGTCCCTCTTCATCTCCAGTGGCAAGTGGGACCGCGACAAGGTGGTAGAGGAGGAGATGATGCCTCTGTGGAAGTCAGCGGTTGGCGACTCCAGCTCGTCCTTGTCTGATGCCAGCGCCCCGACCAAGACCGTGCTGAGGAACAGGACATTGACGTGTAGACGGATGCCGGACAAGCATGCGAGCCAGGCAAGCTCTGAGTACCACAGCAAGATCGCTCGATCGAGGGACGTGGTCACGTTCTCAGTCAGTGTCTTGGATGCTCTGACGATGAAAACCGGGTTCGAGCGTACCATTGGCAATCCCTTGACCATTCAATTTCATTCTCCCTGGACTCTGGAGAACTTGACCCAGTCAGGCCTTGAGGTTCAGCTCATCGATCCTATTGGTAACGTCATCGCCAACTATCAGCTCGGCTCCGGCTCTATCGTTCACGTCAGCTGCTACGATTTCCGTCGGAACATCAACTGCCGGGTCCGGTTGAGCTCAGGGGCTAGTCATGTTGACACGAACTGGTCGAGGGTGTTTGAAATCTATCACTGCGAGAACTGGGAGAACGAGTTGTCAGTCTCGGCCCCTGACCTTGATGACAAGAGCTCTCAGGACATCCGGGTCGAGGTCAATCGAGACCCGGTCAGCTCGCAAGTTCGAGTTTGCATGTACAACCGGTTCTGGCTCATGAACCTGACGGGTCTGAGGTTGATTTGCCAGAAGTTTACTGGTCTCGATGTCACGTCGAAGCGCGAGCTGGAGAACGGATCGCTGGTAGCCTACGATGGGGAGGTAGAGTTCCGCCTTAGCGGCTTCGGGTGGTCAAACGCAGTCAACGTGCTGGACTCCAACCAACGTCGGCAGGCGATCAGCCTGACTTCCGCAAGGGATGAGCACCCGTTCGCGAGGGAGAGGAAGGCGCTAGACAACGAGACCGTCCAACTCTACAGCTCCATGACGCCGGCCTCAGGGAAGTTCGACCGGACGGCCCTGGTGCTGCTCCTGCCGGCCATCTTAGTGCAGAACAACTTGAGCAGGCCCATCACTGTTTGGCAGCGGGAGGCTCACCCATCCTCCTCCTCCTCCTCCTCCTCCTCCTCCTCCTCCTCCTCTGGCCGTAGGGACTTGCCGCACATCCTCGTCATGCCCAACACTCGCCAGCCATTTCACCCTGAAGGAGCGCAAGAGAGCTGCCGATTCTCAGTGACCCAAGGGCAGACCTGTGAAGCATTCAAGATCGCTTCCATCTTCTCCCCTGACCTTGATGAGCTCACGCTCTTGCGGACAGAAGAGAACGTTGTCGTGTCGGCAAAGTCCGAAGTCAGCGTCCACGGGTCAACCATTATCACTTTCTCAGAGGTCTCCTCCAATGTTCCTCACCGGCTTGTCAACAACACTCCCTACCTCCTTGAGTTCCAGCAGGTCGGCAGCTCTTCCCAGCAGACCGTGAGCCTCAGGCCTTATCAGGTGAACAAGTTTGACGTGACTCATTGATGAGACTCTTATTTTATGTGTTCTTGTTTCATTCATCAACGTTCCATGTCGGTCTTGTTTCATATCAGCTGGTTTCATATCTGTCTCGTTTCATATCTGTCTCGTTTCATATCTGTCTCGTTTCATATCTGTCTCGTTTCATATCTGTCTCGTTTCATATCAGTCTCGTTTCATATCAGCCTTGTTTCAATCTTCGCTTTCACATGCACCGTGTTGATTGATATCGATGTCCTCTTACGCTGTTTGTCTTTCAAACATTCGTTGACCATCTTTCAGGTCGAGTCTTTGATCTGGCCGGACCCTTCTCTTGCTCCTCGTCGGCTCGTGCTCTGCCGCATCGACCATGTCGATGTTCCTCGCTCCTTCGAGGTGGAGGTGGACATGTTTCAGGCCATCAGCCTCTACGGCAAGAAGAACAGAGACGCTCTTGTTGACAAGTTTGCGGCGAATCTGCCAGAGAGGCAGCGATACAAGTCAGGCTACGTCCTCTGTCAGACTGGCTCCTCGGCCGACTCAGTCCGGTCGGATGTCCCACTTGCTCTTCTGCTCGATGTCGACCAGCTCATGGTGGCGTTTCAAGTCGTCGACCTCCTCCTGCAGGACCTTCGCTTCCACTGCATCCCTCCCGGCGATCTTGCGGACTGTGAGATATGCGCGGTCTTCACCAAGACGGCGGAGGAGAAATGGATGGTCAACGTGCTTGACTCGAAAGTGTTTGTGATGGTGAACGAAGAGCACGTAACTAGCAAGCAGCTCAAAGTCGGAGATCAAGTTTCTTTCTGCATGAGAGCCGATCTCGAGCTCTCGGACTCTGTGACCACCCTGTTCAGCCTCATCCTGCTCCCGGCCGATCAGTTCTACAGGCAGTACGTCACGTCGGTGTCACTGCTGTCCTGCTCGTCAAACCTTGTGGAAGGGACCAAGGAGCTCTCATTCGGCATAGGAAAGAACGTCTCCACCGCTCCCGAGGACGCGCCCAAGGACTTCACGATCGTCTCCCTGTGCGCTCCTGTGCTCAAGATCCTCTTAGAGGATGACGCCAGCGGCTCCACGGAGGAGCTCCTGCACCTGTACCTGGAGGACGTGAAGGCGTCGGTGATATCAGACAGTGATGCTCGTCAGATCTCTGCCTCTGTCTTGAAGATGCAGCTTGATAACCAGCACGACAGCTCGACGTCTCTTCCTGTGGTCATGTGCATCAACGCCGACGACGGGGGCGGCGCGGCGCTCAACATCGCGATCGTGGAGAAGCTGGGGCAGGTGGGGATCGAAAGGTTCTATCAACACGTCCGGCTGGAGTTTGGGGACTCGTACTTGTTCGTGGAGGACAAGATGGTAGTGAGGATCGGAGAGTTCGTGAACAGGTTCCTTGCTGCCAGAGACGATAAGGACGTGCGAGGAGGAGCAGACGCAAGCGAAGGGATCTCCGAGGAGATCATGGTGCTGAAGAGTCGATTCATGGACGGGGTTTGTCAGGACGAGGCAGCTCCCACCGTCTTCAGCGACAACATCGTCTTCCTCGAGGATTTCCGGATGAAGCCCTTGAACATCCATCTGACCCTCCTCTTCTCCGGTGACAGCAAGAGCAGCGCGATTGTCCGCAAGTTCGCAGGAGCCATAGTCGAGGTGAGTTCAACTCCTGCTGCCCTAACTCCTCCTCATGCTTCTCCTTGTCCTACTGTTTCTGCTGTTCCTCCTGCTGCTCCTTCCTCCTCCTCTCGATCCGCCGTTTGCTATGCTGGTCTCCTCGTTCTCATACCTCACTTCCCTCTTTTCTCCTCTTCTCCCCTCATCTTCAATTCGCAGAGGATCGTCAGGAAGATCCGCATCGACGACGTCGTCGTCAAGATTCCTGTACGTCCCCCGGCCCTGCGACGTCACCACTGACTTTCCTGCAGGCTATGGAGGTCAAGAAGATGCTCAACACAGAAAGCTTCTGCCTCACCCTCCTCTCTCGCCTGTATCCTCGTCCTTCGCTGCTTGTCCTCTCTGACACCTCAGCAGCTTCCTCTCGAGTTTCTCCGACAGCTTCTTCAGCGCCAAGTGAGCCCTGGGATGAGCAGGGAGGGAGGAGGGGGATTGGGATTGCAGAGATGTGTTTGAGGGATGCGCGATGGCGAGCCTCAACGTAGGGGAAGAGGAGCAGGAGCAGGAGCAGGAGCAGTAGCAGGAGCAGTAGCAGGAGCAGGAGCAGGAGCAGGAGTAGCAGGAGTAGCAGGAGCAGGAGCAGGAGCAGGAGCAGGAGCAGGAGCAGTGTCTGACATGGGAGCAGGTTTGTTCTCAAGGGTCTCGACGCCTGGTCAGATCGCGTGCTCGGACTACAAGTGGAAGGACAGAGCATTGGCCACGTGCGGCTGAACAGGAGGCGACCAATCCAGGAGGAGTGGGAGGAAGTGGGAGAGGAGGAGGGGGGCGATTCCGTCGAGAGGGGGTGAGCACATTTCTCCATTGCTGTCCCTTGGCCATGACAAGCAGAGCAGAGCTGGGAGAACGTTGCTGTCCCTCCCCGGGAAAGCCTTCTCGACTGTTGCCTCAGCCCCAGTTCGTGCGCTCGGAGGGATCAAGACGGTAAGTCAGGAGTGGAGAAGGGAGAGGAGGGAGGTGAGAGGAGGTGAGAGGCAAACGGGGGGGCAGCAGGAGGGAAAGAGGAGAGGATGGGTTAGTGTATGACGGGATGTTGCAGGGGGTGAAGGCGGGATTTTCGACCCTCAACAACTTGTCAAACAATCTTTGACGACGAGGAGGAGGATAAGGGAGAAGCTGCAGAAGATTAAGGGAGAAGGGGCTTGGTTGACAATATATTTGGCATCTTTTAATGTTACATCTTATGAATCCTTCATTATTGAATTACAATCTCCTTCCCCGCCAGGCATGTACATTGGCAGTTCAGCTTCATCGCTCCGACTCCATGGGTTTTTGTCTCTTATTAAGCCTGACAAGGAAAAGCTTGAGATATGAAGATCAAAAGGGAATGCAAACTGATAGAGAGGAGAGGCAAGATGTGGAGGAAGGAAGAGGGGCCAAGGAGGGAAATTGGTGACAAAGGAATGAAATCCTCCCCTCCCGACCCAAGCCTTCTCAATCCCTCCTACTCCTCCTCCTCCTCCTCCTCCTCAGGGACGGACAAAGGGAGGGATAGAACTGATGAGAAGAGGAGGGAAGGGCTGCACCTTAAGTTCTGTTCGTGCTCTTCTCCTTCTCTCTGCATCACGTTCAGCTTCATCCTCGTTGCACGTCAAAGTCTCACCATCCCCACCCTTGAGCTCTCATAGGTCATCAGCCTACAACAGCATCGTTACCTCTCCTCCCCTCCCCTGCTGCTCACCTGTTGGTCTTGGGTGACATACTGATGCTGATGACGCGATCCTGTACCTCTTGATGAGAAACAAATATATGTAGCAATGGTTCAAGGAGAAGAGCAGGGGAGGGGGAGAGAGGGGCGTGGGAGGAGGAGGAAGGAAAGCAGGAGCTGGAGGAGGAGGAAGCGAGAGAGACCTGCAGCATGGGGCTGATCGTCACATTTCTTCTCACGTACTTCTTGACTGAGAAAGGGCTGGAAGGGGGGGTCTGCGAAGAATCAGAACAGAATTGGGGGGGGGGGGGGCGGAGGAAGGAGGAGGATTGGAAGAGGAGGAGAGCGAAAGGCTCTGGAGGGAGGGGAAGTAGATGCGAGATCGAGCCGGAGAGGGGAGGGGGGAGGAGGTTTACCGTGCTAGAGAGGTCGTGTATGTCCGAGTGAACGAACTCCTGGCATGCTCTCATTAGAAGATCCGCCGGCTCTGACCCACCCAGCTATGCAGACCTTGCAGACGGGAACGAGCTTCTGGTTGTAGAACTCGATGATATTCCCCAGCTGACCACCAGCTGTCAGATAACAAGTCTGGCCGAGTTTGCGGGAGACCTTGTTCTCATCGAGGAGGACGTTCCAGTAGAGCAGGTCAGAGTCTGAGGGAGGGGATCAGCCAGGAGGATGCGGACCAATCAGAGATCAAGGGGAAGGGGTCGAGAAGGGAAGGGAAGGGGAGGAGGAGAGGGAGAGGCAAGGGGGGAGATGTTCGATGGGATGATCTAGACATAAGGCAGGGGCCACAGCAAATAGGACGAGCAGCCTTTCTTGCCTTGATTGTTGTACACAGCTTTGTGCTGGCACACAAGAACTTTGAAGGTGACGTTCCCCTCCCCTTCAGACTTGCAGGCCCCGAAGAGGATACAGAGAATGATCTGCCAAGGCGCGAGAACATGTCAGATCGCATCGCAAGCATCAACAGAACGAGCGAACCTGATGAAGATTTCTGCCCACCATGAGGCCTCGGGCAGAAGGAGACTCCAAGATTCTGAAGGGAAACCTCGTCATACAAACAGAAGACATACGGAAAGGATGGCATTTTCTTCACCTGCTCATCACGTCGTACGCTCTATTGTACGACCTCCTGCAGTCACGAGCAGCAGCGTCAAGAGGATCAGAAAGAGGAGGAATCGGATCGTCACATCGTGATCCCGCTAGATCGAAGGTTTCTGTACATGCTTTCCAGGATTTCAACTGCGCCAACATCGTTATTGTCGTCGTCATCATCATCTCCCAACATCATCAATATATCTTATCACAATCAAACCATATCATCACCACTCCCATATCTTCGTCATCACAATCTTCACATCTATCATCATATTGATCTCTGCTCACCAGCTCGATACCACAGGCGTCGGGCAAATGCTGAGAGCTGCCGCTCGCTCTACAAGGAAGTCAAAGTGGACTGGAGAGGAGGAAGAGGAGGAAGAGGAGGGGGTGCACGGGGAGTGGGGTGGGAAGGAGTAGCAGGATGAGGAGGAAGCGAGAGGAGGCGGCAAGCGGTGTGCAACATCACCGCTCTAAGCTGCAGCGCCTCCGCTTCCTGTGACGCCGCTGAGTTCGCAACATCCTGCTTCTTCATCGACGACCGATGAGCCGAGATGCGCATGGGGGATTCAGGGACAGAATTCTTGTGCTGGTGGAGGTAGCCGTTCAGAAGCAAGCAAGAGATAAGAGAAGCATCAATGAAGAAAGGGAGAGAGCAAGATAAGAACGATAATTATCCCCATCTTTCTATCGGAAAGGATGGGCATATCAAGCGATTCGCCACTGGGCATTCGACTTGCCTGTTTGAAATCCTTCAAGGCTCGCGCAAAGACCTCTGCAAGCTCCTCCTTCTGCAAGTAGAGGAGAAGAGTAGAGTTCTTCTTCCATCCCTCGCTCTCCACGATGCGGTTCAACAGGTCACGGACATGCTGGTTGATGCCATAGGACAGGCGAAACTTCTTCACCTCCATAAGGTGCAAGAAGTTCTCGATGAAGATGAGAAGCTCGAACTCGCTGATCTCAACCTTCTGCAGGATGGAAGAGAGGTGGAAGGATGAAGAAAGGTGGAGGAACGAGACAACCTCCGATGAAAACGCGACGAGGCTCTTGAGCAGCGCCTCGTCATGCAGCATGATGGAAAGGGGCCCGAGCTTCTTCCTCTCCTCCTCTCGCATGCAGATCATCCTCAGGATCTTCAAGCACATCCTCGTCGTGAGGTCCCTGTGCTCCCTCAGCATCCCAATCTTGTCCATGAGCGCACTGAGAGATTTCTTTGTCTTCTCCCCGGCGGGAGGAGTACACCCCTCCAAGAAGCCCATCAGCCTCTCGTCTGGCTCTACTCCCTCCCCCATGAGGAAGCGAGAAAACCAGACGTGATCCTCCTGTGCCTGACTGACCGGGGTAGGAGGAGGATTCGATATCCTCGCGTGCTTCACCGGTCGCTCCGGAGTGCGGAAGATCGGGTCAGACGAGGTCCGGGCCTCGGCCCCATGCAGAGACTGGGGCTTGGAGGGAGAGGAGGGCGCGATGTTGGATACCGCCCTCGCATCCGACATGTCCTGATCGCTGCTGCTCCCTGCTGCCGTGCTCACATGCGCAGGCTCGATATCGATGAGGTCCCCCCGCCGAGGAATGAGGCGGCAGTCTAGCAGGTTGAGTGGATGAAGCATCAGGTGGCGTGTCAGCGCCTCGTCTAGCAGCTTGCTCCACTCTCCGAGCCCGCCTCCTTTCAACTTGGCTTCACTCTCCACAAGTTTCTGCGTCGCTTCCTCGATGTCTTCCACCTCCTTCCCCAGCAGCTTGACAACATCTTCTGTCAGACAAACCGCGTGCAAGATCAGGTCGGAGAGGGTAGCCTTCTCCTCTTTCCTGCTGGCGAAGCTTCCTCCTGGACTCACTACGGGAAGTACACACAATAACGTCGCTCGGAGACAAGAAACAAGAAACTTGAAGCTCGGGAAGATATCCATACACTTGCCATCTCGCATCATGTGTTGTGAGTGGAGAAGGAAGAGAACCCAGCAGGGGTACGTCAATTCAGACGCCTCGGATTCCGTCACGATGCTCCTGTCCTTCAACACTTGAATGATTTTCTCCAGCTTGTTATAGAGGATGATCCCCACGATGAAGTTTGCCTCCAAGGTTTTGAATTGTCCCAGCGCTTTGTCAAGAGCAATTCCGTCGGGGAACAACCGCTGTTCAAACCTTCAGCCGATCTACGCAAGGAGCAAGACTAACTCACCAGAAACCATTCTTGTTTCTTCGAGGATTGAAACATGTTGGTGACATCTTGGAAGAAGCCTTTCAGGATGGGGCAGCCGTACGCTTGAATGAGGTCATCGGCACGTGCTACTTGGACATCTTGAGAGCAAACGGGTCATCCACAAGACGCAGTGATGCTTCATTCATCACACCTGGATGCGATGATGATGATGATGATGATGATGATGATGATGCTTTCATGTATCTTCCTTTCAACACGATGTACAGGCAACTCGGCAGATAGACGCTCGTGTCCTTGACAATCCCATCGTCCTGTCAAATGAGGGCCTTCAGAAGCACAATGCGAGGCGAAACGCTCTCAAGAGCAGCACACCTTCTCTGCATATTCTGACCAGTCACGCTGCAACCTCTTAGCAGCTTCGAAGTCTTCTTCTGTGCAACTCTCTATTGCAGGGTTCTGGCTCTCGCCTTGTTTCTCCATGGTGACTGTACCAACCAGGAACTGTGAGTTAGAAGGCATCCCAGACAAGCAGACGAGTGAGGGTGGCATCGAAATGATGATGTTACTGGAAAGATGTGAAAGTCGAGACACGGTTGCATGAAGCGTGCGTGTTTGCTGCTGGGCGTATGTAGGAAGGTGTGCTAAAACAAAGAGAACATGGGAGGAAGTGATAGTGCAATGAGTATAGGACATGTCACTTACTTGATCTGCTGAACGAAGTCAAACAGCCCAAGTCCTTGCTTTCCTTCAACTTGCCTTCGCTTCCTCCCCTCCTCTGCCCCATCTTCCATCTTTTTCCGTTTCCATTGCGCCCTCCACCATGGCGGTCCCCGCAAAAACCGGATCCGGTAATCCAAACACCGCAATTTTCATCTGTAAAGCTCTGAAAGTTTGAATTTGAATGTCATATTTCAATTAAAAATTGATGAATTTGAAAATTGTAAAGATATTTAATCACCCCTTCGATATTTCTTTGTATGTTACCATCAATTTGTACCAGCCAGCATCAAAACCCACCCCACTGGCTGTTTTTCGATCAGAAAATATACACCCTACCCCCTTCTTCACCCATTCCATTCAGACACCCCTTACATTGAACAACACCCACCTTTCAAATGCTGAAACCCCTCCAATAACCTGTACTTATTAGGGTCTCTTCAGACTGCTCTAATGACCCCACCCCCATAAGAATGAGGATTGACCAATCAGTGTCTATGATCACCCTGTTATCAAAACCACTACCCTATATTTTTGATGCACCCCACCCCATTGAAAAAAACATTTTTCAAACACAACCGTTTCAACTGCATCTACTTTCTACCCCACCCATTTCCCTGTCTGATTCATTAGGTACCCCATTGTTTCCATGATTTTGATGTACAAGGACCGGGTATTTTTATCATGGTACCGGTACTTCAAGAACCACCCCCCTTTTTCAGCAAACCCCTGATTCAAAGGTAGGGCAACCAAAGGAGTTCGAGCAAGAATTTGATTGGTTTTAAGTGCATACCTGCTAATTTTAAATACATTGATATAGAATTCACTTAATTTGGAAACAATTTAGGTAGTTTCGGGTTAAATAGAGAGTATTTGTATGTTTGGTATGATTTAGTATTAAAACTACACAATATCTGGAAATTAATACTATTTTCACTCCGATTCCAACGGCAAGAAATGCACGGAAACCCTGCTCAGGGCTGTAGAGGAGGAGAAGGTGAGAGATGCTCAAGAGAAGATGAGGAGATGAGAGTATTCGACGATAATGATGCAAGGAAACAACAAGGAGCGTGTCATGTTGCAGGCAACAATGAAGCCCATGATGAAGACTTGCAGCGGTATGGTAGGGTAAGCGGTTGTGAGGAACAAGCTTCATCGCAGCAAGATGAAAGCGATCACGGGAAGGCGATGCTGGAGAGCCCTGCAGTGAACATAACTCCTAAAGGATCTTGGAGGAGGATGGAGGAACTTAGAAACAGAGCAGGCTCCATGAGCGAGAGTAGCGATGAGGACACGTGCGATGAAGAATACCTCAGGCGGCATCTGCCATATGAACGCTCCGAGCAACATGCCTCAGTCAGAGTGTATGCCGACGACTCCTGTACCTCGTGCAGTTTCCTGGCAGAGGCAGAGTCTATCCTTGACAGCTCATGTAGTTTCATCCAGTCCTCTCCTGCCGCTAAACTGGAAGGGAGTTTCAACGGTGCAGACGTACTTGAAGACGAGCTGCGAGATTCTCATCGCATACGAGGTGCCAACGAACTTCTTGCCAGCTCCTGTTGAGATTCATAAGAAAGACTTTAATGTGTTGCATCATCACGTTCTTAAAGAGAGACTTCATTCCGCTATTTCATTCGTTTTCTAGGTTGACATTCCAACTGCTGCACCAAAACGCATCGTTCCGCTCACGTGCTTCACTTTGACTGCAATCAGGGACTCAAGTTCGTATTCAAATAAGATTGCATCCTTGAAGGAGAGATCTGCAGGTAGTTCTTCCCGATCTGCTGCGCAGTCGACGCCGTTTGCGCTGCTTTCTTAGCAGCTTCCTTTGCCGTGGCGACGCACTTTTGGAACTGTTGCTTCTCCAACTTCTGCGGGTGAGGAAACTCATTCTGCTGAATCATCCTCCCAAAGTTGTACAGGACAGACTGTTTCTTGCCGTCTGACTGCACATGAACCCCCCTTGCATGCTGGAAGCCGTCGAGCCAAATCCCGTAGCGTTTCCTCCCCGACGAGTCCACCTCGACCCCGGGCCCGTGCTTCACATCATCTTTCCAACAGCCCTGGTAGATGGTGCCAGAGGAGGACTCCATGGTACCGAAGCCGCTGCGAACTCCTCCTGTCCAGTCCCCCCGGTATGTGTCGCCGTTGCTCCACACGAAGATCCCGACGCCATGCATGAAGCCGGCGCTCCAGGAGCCGATGAACTGATTCCCGTTGGGCCAGGTAGCCAGCCCGATGCCTTGAGGGAGCCCTTGAGAAGAATCTCCGTTGTAGGTCATCCCGTCCTTGTCCTTGACCTCGGCCAGGAACCTGAGGAACCTGGGGTAGAGAAGCGCCTTATCCCTGTCGGAGCATAGCACGTGAAGGCAGAGGGAGTGGCTGAGCAGCGAAGGGTCCTGCAGGATGATCCTAAAGGTGGAGTAGGAGACAGCATGTCTGCTCATGGCAGCGATGAAGCTCTCTCCGCAACCGTCCAGCACGAACTTCAGGACGACGCTGTTGTCGTTGATCAGCAGACGCAGGCTGTTCTCCTCCAGCCTGAGCACAGAGTCTGACACGATGTAGTTGCCGATGAACCCATCGAGCCTGCAAGTCTTCACGCTGACACCCTTGCTCGCAAGATCGTCCTCTTGTCCATTGGCTGCTACAGTCAACGAGTTCTGCCAAGAGCTCTTCTCCCCGGCCTCCTCTGCAAACACCATCAACACCTGGGTCCCGTCCCTGAGCTCTCTCGCGTCTGATTTCCGGATACAAACTATCGGGACGCTGATGGGCCTCTCTTGCTGCTCCGTGTAAGAGGGAGGAATCAGCTCGTCGTCGACGTTGACAAAGATGATGCCGATGGCGCCAGCGGCCGTCGCCCTCACTGCCTTCTCATAGAACGTGCACTTCCCCCGCTCGATCAGCACGATGTTCCCTCCCACCTCGTCGGCGTTCACCAGGTCCCCGTCTGCATGGATGGGGTTCGCTCGCACCACCGTGCCAACCAGGTTGCGGCTCTCACCGAACCCGATGCTCCTGCTCACAGTCACCTCCTGCCCCTCGAACTTGATGACGTCAGCACGCTGCGCTTCCCCCTCAGCCCGGACGTCTCGGTTCGCCGGCGTCCAGGGAACCTCCTGGGCCGAATGGAGGGAGGCGTGAACCTGAGGAGAGAATGTCGAGGCCCTCATGATCTCTGAATCTTCCTCCTTGCTGTGCGTCAAGTCGTGCTGGCCCCTCTCCTCCAGCAGCCTCTCGAGCCGCTCGATGTGGTGATTCTTCTCCTTCATCACATCCTCGAGCTCTTTGATCTTCTCGTCCTTCACCTTGAGATTCGCCATGGCATCGTCCAGCGCCTTGAGGTTTTCCTGCACCTGGGATTCGCCCATCTTTAGGAGCATCTGGAAGGCGTCGATCTTCATGTCGCGCTCCTCGATGGCTTTTTGCGCTATGCTGAAGGCCGGCTGAGTCTGGTCCAGAGACGTCTGGTCCAAACTTAGAGACGAAAGCCAGGAGGAGCGAGGGCAAGGGAAACAAGGGCAAGGGAAACAAGAGCAAGGGAAACAAGTGCAAGGGAAACAAGAGCAGGAGGAGGGCAAGGGAAACAAGAGCAAGGGAAACAAGAGCAGGAGGAGGGCAAGGGAAACAAGAGCAAGGGAAACAAGTGCAGGAGGAGGGCAAGGGAAACAAGAGCAAGGGAAACAAGAGCAGGAGGAGGGCAAGGGAAACCAGCTGGTAGGGCACCTGGAGCATCATCATGCGCGACTCTCGTTCCCCCATGGCGCTGTGAATCCTGTCCATGGTGAGCTGCATGTGATCCATGGTCTTCTGCAGGTGCTCTATCCTCATGTCCTTCTTGCTGAGTTCCTCCTGGAGGGCGTCGAACTTCTCCTTCTGAGCACTCAGCTTCGAGGTCATGTCTGACAAGGGCAGCGCTGTGTCAGAGGCAGAGCATGCAGGAGGAGGCGCCATACCTTCCATCCTGGTATTGTGCTCGTTGCAGGCGAACCTGAGTTGAAAGAGCTCGTTGGACTGCTGCCGGATGATGCTCTCTCGCTGCGACAGGAACTTGGTCATGGCCTCGTGCTCACTCTGCATGGCGTTGTCGCGTATCTGGAGGGAGTAGAAGTGCTTCTTGTTCTCCTGCTCCAACGTGCTGATTTCTGCGAGTTGAGAATCCAGGATGTGAACCTTGGGCTCGATGATAGAGATCGCCATCTGAAGTTGCTCCGCTTCCATCCTCATCTGTTCCAGCGGGACCGAGTTGGCCGAGCTCAGGCTCAGGTGCTCCGTTTGCAAGCTCTTGATTTGAGCCTCTTGCTCTGAAATCTTTCCAATGGTGTGAGTCCATCGCATTGGATCTCCTATCCTCGTACCTTTTTGTTCAGCTCCTCTACCGTCTTGTCTGATCTTGCTGTAAACAAGCAACATGTTCATCTCCAGCAGTGGAAATGACCCTCCCTCCCTCCCTCCCTCCCTCTCCTCACCTTGAAGGGCTGCTTCGAGACGTCTGATCATTTCGTCTTTCTCTTCCAGCTGAAGCTCATGCAGTCGCAACTTCTCTTGATCCATCTTTCTCAGCTTCTCGTCGCGCTCAATCACAGCTTCCTCCAGCTCCGATATCCTTCCCTGAGGTGACGCAGACTTGAGGGAGCAGGGAGGGCCACCAGACAGCGACTGACCTCGTGCCTTGCCTTCTCTTCTTCCAATGAGTTGATCTGCTCTTGCATAGTCTTCTTGTCCTCCTCCAAGATCTCAACATGGAGCGAAGAGGAGTGCTTGGTCTGAAACATCTTCTCTGAGACATGTCTAAGATGGCTCTGGATGCGACAGTCAGTCGAACACATTCGAGTCAAGAAATAATGCAGGTCCTCGCCTCGTTCTCCTTCAAAGTTGCCTCTAACGATCTTATCTTGTCGTCGCGCTCACTCAAAGCCTCCTCCTGCGAGCCGGTCAGAGGGGAGCTGCTCAGACTAACTGGCTCCACCTGCATACGGAGAAGTTCCTCCATCTTGGCGTTCATCTGTGTCTGGAGGAAACAATCGATGTCAGAACACGAGCTCAAGTCAGACCTCAAGGATCGTGCTGGTCTTCCCACCTGTTGCTTCCATTGTTGGTCCAAGTCTTCAATTCTCTTCCTATACTCCAAGATCTTTGCAGATTCGCCGTTGCTGTCGTAGGAGGATGGATACAAGGCTTTCTTGAAGGCCTCCACTGGCACCTTCCTGAAGTTCTCCGAGATGTTCTTGGACGGGTTGCTGGAAGATGCTCTAGAGATCGGGTGCTCGTGCCAGTCCCGCTGCGATTCGACCGCTCTCCTTCCGTACTTGGCATCCTCCACGGTGACATGGTGCGGTGTCACTTGCATCGTCCTCGGCAGGAACCTCTGCCCGACCTCCTTGGAGAGTGAATCGCTACCAGCGTCAGGGGTTGAACCTCTCCACTCCTGAGAGCGCGAGTGAGAGTTCTGCCTTGCCTCTGTCTCCTCGTCATCGACGCTCGAATCGCTCCAACTCCAGTCAATCATGTCGGCATCAAGATCCATCTTTGAAAGGAGCCTGTAGTAACAGATTACATAAATCTCAGCACATTAATTATCGATCGACATGTGTTTGAAACAACATTACTCTTATCCCAAGGAATACAGTTTGAGCTGTGAGGAACCTCTTCGAACAAACTCCATTCATTCCTGTCTGCTCATTTAGTTTACCCTACCGACTGATATGTCCGTACATTATATATTGCTAGTGCTATCATAATACCAACCAATGCGATTGCCTTTGATTCCTCTTTCTTCATCCCTCATGATTTCTTCCAGCCAGCCGAGTTTTATACTTTTCTCAGTTGACGGTAATACTCAACTGAAATCTTCGACAAGTCTCGTGACACTGAAACTCATCGCTTTTTCCGAGTTCTCTTCCGGCTCTCTCGATATCTCCACCAATTCTCGCGCCTCCTCCCTAACGGAGACGGTCGCGCCATGCGGAAGCCTGTGAACAGCGTCCGCTGTCACCACGAGTGGCATAGCTCGGCAATCGCAGCCTGATAATGTAACGGTCGGCCCTATTAGTTTTGCTGGTTGTAAATTCAGTACTGCCTCAGAGGCCGGCCGGGCCGGGCGGGGCGGGGCGCGCGGCCCAGTGAGCCTCAGCCGGAGCGGCCCGCGGCCGCCCGGGCCCCCGCTGCTGCCGGGCGGCCCTTCACCAGTATTGTACGGTACTACCGACACCGGCCCCGATTCATTCTTTACTCAATGTTAAGTTAAAAATCAGTTTGGCCGTTCATTCAAATCATCGGTACCATGATACACTGTCACCCCCGGGCCCCCCCCGCAAACGGTGACCGTTCAAGTCGGAACCACGATGGGCGTGGCGGCGGGCACTGGCCGGCGGCCCGGCGGTGACCCGGCGGGCGGCGGCGTCCGATCTGAGTCGCCGCGGCGGCGCCGGGAGCCTCCGCCGCCGGCGGCTTTAGTCCGAACTCACTGAGGCAAGCCGGGATTGAGATAAAATGAGTTAAAATGTAAGTAAAAGTTATAAAGAGCGCGAGTGTGGCGGGAGCAGGAGCCAGGTGGGGGAGGGGAAGGAGCAACAAGGATAAGGAGGAGCGATTCGATGCATGACGGTATGCCCGAAGTTTCTCTTCTGAGCTGACTACAAAAACAAGAGCTGAAGTGAGAGTAGATTCTACGTTAGGGAAGGAACAGAACTTGAAAGCTGGGCAAGTCAAGTCTTGACTGATCCTTCTCACCTGCCCGGGAAGTTTTCTGCGATGGTTAAGAACTTCACGAGTTTTCCATCGAGCATGATGCGCGGACGAGTGAAGCGGTCAAGGTCATATTTGTTCTTGTTTGTTCTCTTCGGAATATCCATGTACCACGTCTCGTTCGTCATGTTGTCTTCATCTTTCCGCAAGTCTTCCAAAGTTGCCCCGAAACAGCCTCCGCAACACCTCAGTGATCTCAACTACGACGTCTGCATTGTGGGAGCGGGACTGAGTGGAGCCGTCCTAGCAGAGCGCTATGCCAACGTTCTTCACAAGAAGGTGGTGGTGATTGAGAAGAGATCGCACATAGGGGGCAACTGTTACGACTACGTTGATGAGCAAACGGGCATATTGATGAATCTCTATGGTGCGCATCTCTTCCACACAGACTCTGAGAAGGTGTGGAGATACGTCAACCAGTGGCATGAGGAGGTTCCATGGATCCGATGGGATCATGAAGTCAGAGCTGTGGTGGACGGGAAGCTTGTGCCTGTGCCCGTGAACATCAACACGGTGAACTCGTTGTTCGGTTTGAACTTCCGCAACACTTCTGAGATGACAAGTTGGTTGAACTCCATTCAGAAGAAATGCGACGGAAACTGTGCGAATGCGAAAGAGATGGCTGAGAGCCGGGTTGGAAGCGTCCTATTCCAGAAGATCTTTGCAAGCTACACGAAGAAGCAGTGGGACAAGGATGCGAGCGAGCTGGAGCCACTAGTTACTGCAAGAATCCCCGTGAGGAACGACTTCGACCAGAGGTACTTTTCCGACAGGTTTCAAGCGCTGCCGAAGCACGGATACACCAAGTGGTTCGAGCGGATCCTCCGCAGCGACAAGATCACAGTCCAGCTTAACACGGACTACTTCGCTCTCAAGGATCTCAAATGCGGCAAAACATTCTTCACGGGACCCATCGACTCCTATTTCTCAAAAGAAGGGTTGCCAAAGTTAGAATACCGCAGCATCCGGTTCGAGAAGACGGTCTTGCGCAATTCAGGCTTCTTTCAACCAGCTTCTGTCGTGAATTACCCGGAGCCTAACGTCCCTTTCACGCGCATTGTGGAATATAAACATTTCTTATGGCAGAAAAGTGACTTCACGGTTATAGTCAAGGAATTCAGCACTGATGATGGAGAGCCTTATTACCCTGTACCCAAGAAGACAAACATTGCTCTGTATGACAAGTACAAGGAGCTGGCAAACGAAGCGGAGAAGAAGAGCTCAATCTTCTTTGTTGGAAGGTTGGCAACTTACAAATACATCAATATGGACAGAGCGATCCTCCTTGCGCTGGAGATGTTTGAGAAGATTGAGAACAGAACAAGATAAGACGGATAGAGTTGCAACAGGGGACTGCAGCAGTTGTGCAGTATTGGTGAGATATGTTGACCACTTCATGAAAACAAACTCTGTATGTTACCAAGTTTACACCGTAAACAGAGATAAGGTTGTGTTGAGCAGAATGAGTGAAGTATACATCTGCACACACTTATTTGACTCTTGCCATAGCCAGCTGGAACAGTATTGTTGCTGCCCTCCTTTCTCTCGGAAATTTTCCGTGAGGCGGGCTCGTGCGTTGAACCAGCTTCAGCTGTAGTACATTTTCGCTCGATGGTCATACGGGAGGACGCCAGGAAGCGAAAGGGGCGTGGAGGCATTGCGGAAGGAGGAGAGGAGAAATGGTTCGAAAGCCAGAGAGCAGGACACGGAGAGTCAGGCAGAGATACAGGAGAATGCATATTGGAGTTTGCGGCAGAAAAGCTTCTAGAAGTGTTTTGAGGCGAAAAAAGTTTCAAGGCCGGAGTGGTCAGTTTTGGTTTGGAAGAGGTATGAGAGAGGAATTGTATGAGTATTGACGACAATGACGATGAGAGAGGGAAGGAATGATTGTTAGTTGATGCTCGGTCTCGAGAGTGCGGGCTCTGAAATTTTCTTTGTCGTGCAGTGAAGGTGGAGGAAGGAAAATGCGAATCTTTGGCAAGAAGGAGCAAGACATCAAGGAAGTGGCAAAGCAGCAAGGCAGAGAAATCAAGAAGAATGAGCGCGAGATCGAAAGAGAAAAAATGGCCCTCCAGCGCGAGGAAAGACAGCTTGTGATCGAGATCAAGAAGGCAGCAAAGGTATTTTCAGCGAACTTTCGCGTTGAGAATCCTCGCGTCCCTGTGATTATCCATGGGTGTGCAGGAAGGGCAAGACAAGATTGTAAAGACTTTAGCAAAGCAGCTCGTCAGAGTCCGAGAGCAGCAGGTGAGCCCAACATGCATACCTGCCACATTGCTCATCCTACAAATGTTTACAGAATAGAATGACTAGCATGAAAAGTCAAGTGCAAGGAGTCAGAAACTCCATGACGGTGATGAAAGACTTGATCGATCGAGTTTGCTAATCTGCATGTTTACCGTGTGTAGCTTGCCGCGTCTCAGCAGAAGATGGTACAGAGCATGGCGGGGATATCTAAGGCAATGGGCAAGATGAATGCGCAAGGTGAGAAAGAAGGGTTTCAACGCTTGTCGTGATTGCTCAGCTGCGATCTCTTGTTGTGGTTCTGATTCTTGTGCAGTTGACATCGAGCAAATGAACAGAGTCATGCAAGAATTCCAGAGAGAGAGCGAGATCTCTGACAGCAAACAGGTTCTCGAAAATTTGAACGTTTTGATAAGCACTGAACTCCTTACAGGACATGCTCGATGAGGCATTGGAAAGCATGTTTGATGAAGACGGGTGAATTCTGCTCCCAATGATGCTTTATCCCCTCCAGATCTCCTTCTACCAACTCATCTCTCCCTCGCATGTTTTCTATTCCCCTCTTGTGGTCACTCCCTATTGTGCTGCTGTCTCACGGCTTCCTTTCATCAGCTTCGAGGAGGAAGCAGACTCGTTAACCCAGCAGGTGAGCGCCCCTGACTTCTCTTGCCTCATCCTCCTCGAGTTGTTGACTACGAGTCCCTGCAGGTGCTGGATGAGATCGGGATCGACTTTGCTTCGCAAGTCGCAAACCCCTCACGCGGTGCACTGCCCGCCCGCGATCAGGTCCGAACATGGTTCAGTCTGTGCGGCTTCCACTGAGTCTGTGAGATACAGGGTGTGAGCGAGAAGGACGAGATAGACGATCTGGAAAGCAGGCTAGCAGCATTGAAAGGCTGAGCTAGCCGACTCTGGTTGGAATCATGGGGATCTACAAAGTACTGCTTGCCTTCAGTTAGTGCGGGTAAACTTGCTTTGACAGAGTAGGATTCGACCAGTAGCCAGGCAAAGGGGAGTGCATCGTTTCTTCATTTTTAATGAATTTTACCATGTCAATCTCAGATGCCCGATCATTCATTGTTCACTCACTCTAATCTCCGAATCTCATGTGTCATTCCGTCATCAGTCAGAGACACCGTCAGAAAACCTTCTCCAAATCTCATGTGTCATTCCGTCATCAGTCAGAGACACCATCAGAAAACTTCTTCTAATCTCTCCAGCACAACCGTGTAGACAAGACTTCACTCCCGCCACCTTCTATCTGCAGCTATACACTGCACAGGACCCTGGATCAATTCTAGATTTGACACATGTCGCTGCAGTCTGAGATTAATTTGAGCGTATATTGTTCTTCTCTCTACCTACACACATCCTACTCATCCCACTTGTTTTGGCTCAATGATTTCGCACTGAAAAAGCGTTGATCATCTACCCGCGAGCAGAGGGGCCACAACACCGTTGCTCTTTTTGTTCCCAAAGTCTTGCTCTTCCGTTCAAGCATCTTCTAATTTTGTTCTAGTTCTGCATTTTGCTTCTGTTCTCTTTCTTGGTTCTTGAACATCACCTCCTCCTTCTGGCACAGTCTCAAGTATCATTCCTGGAGCTTTCCTTGGATTGTTCATTCTTAAACATCGAACTTCGAAACCTTCAAGATACTTCTATTCGTAGACAGCTGTTGTTTTTCTCATCTTTGCCATGCCCACCATGCTCTTCTTGTCGTCTACCCTTTTCTCCGCCCGTGGTGGCGGCTACTGCTTCCTAGTCGGACTAGGATCAATCTTGATCTTAGACAGTTTCTTGGGCGACCCTTTCAAAGTTATAGTATAAGTTTTGAATTCTAATACAGATATTTAGGAGAGTTCCCGAAAGATAAATAATCTATTTTAAAAAGATAAAAAACGAAGCCTTTCGTAATCAGGTGTAGGGAACGGAGTCCACCAAGGGGTGGGGTAGTTAAATATGTGCTATCACCCCTCCATATCAGTCTCAATAGCCGGTCAGACGGTGGTCAGGGTATCGTCATCAAGGATCCTTTGACGTGGGGGTAGGGTACTCGACTGGCCGTAGCTCGGACAATGACCCATCCCACCCCACCCCACCCTGAAATTGGACTTTACACTATGTTTACGACCTCTGGTACCCTACTACTCCCCAATCGTCTTCTTGGGGGAGTACCCCCCCCCTACCCCAACCCTGGTGGGAAATAGACTTCCGCCTATGAAATGATGCTGCATCCTGCCCTCGTTGTCTCCAGCCCTCCTTTGCCTTCTTCTTTCCCCCATGACTTACGATCATGCTCTTACGATCAGTTCTGCTCCTCCTCGCTGCCTCTGTGCCTCGTATCCCATCTTTTTGTCTCTTCCTGTCCCTTTACATCAGTTCTTTCCAGATAAGGACACGCTTCAACTCTCTCTGACCCTGCATGTCACCTCTACCCTTGCATGTATTCGCATCCTCGCACCTGCTCCCACCTCCTTGAGGAAGACCCAGACCTCCTGTCGTTGTTGATAAGTGTTCAATCAGTCTTGCAAGCTCAATACCCGGCAATACCATTAAATCGCCCTCGAACCTTGCCTGCCTGCCTGCCTGCCTGCCTGCCTGCCTGCCTGCCTGCCTGCCTGCCTGCCTGCCTGCCTGCCTGCCTGCCGTTTGTCATCGTCTTGTATCAAATCGCTGATTTGACATTCCAGAAGATAAGAGAAATCGTCCTTCGGCTCACCACAAGTAGTTTCGGAGGAGACAACCATGCAGGAATACCATTGAAGAAACAAGGACATCCTGTCCACTGGACTGAAAGGTGTCATGATCAGCAGGCCTTTCCTGCTGTCATGGCTTGCAATTTCCTTGATTTTGCCAGACTTGCCTATCAGTCATTCGTACCAGTTTGGCGGTCTAACAGCAAGTGAGTTTGACATCGACCATGAATCTCTTGAATCCATGACCATAGCCACGACCATGGCAAACCTGCAATTCCCTTCCTTGCCACAAAATTTTACAGTGGACGCGATCGATCTGACGGCTCTGAGGCTTCTGCAGACGTTCAGATACGGAGTGGAGACATCTGACGTCAACAGCATCTGGCAGAATGCAATCTTGAACCTGTTTCAGTCGATCAGTGTCAACGCGAGTGTGTTTGTTGGCCCTCCGTGGAGCAGGGATGTGTTCGCCATGCGATCTTACCTCAACGCAAACAAGTTGATCACTCTCAGTTACTCAGCAACGCACAAAGATCTTTCCAACCGCTCTCTCTTCCCTTATTTTGCTCGCGTGTGCCCCTCCGACGACCTCCAAGGCATGGCCATGGCCGACCTCGTGAGCTTCCTCGGCTGGACCAGCTGCCAGGTCGTCCGCTGCGACGATGAGTACTGCATGGGGCTGGCCGCGCGCTTCGGGCAGGTGGCGTCGGAGAAGGGCGTGGCGGTAGAGGCCGTGCACACGTGGGCGATGAACGACCTGGAGGCGACCAAGAGCCTCCTCAGAGACATCGCAGCCAAGTGCGGGAGGTCGCGGGTGCTGGTGCTGTGCGTGCACGCGAGCGATGCAAAGGAGATCTTCGCGGCAGCGAACGCGACGGGGCTGTCGGGGAAGCTGATCTGGCTGGGGAGCTGGTCGGCGAGCTCGCTTGACAACCGGTATCTGCCTGAGGGCTACCTGGGGCTCCGCATAGGCATCAACAGCAGCAACCCCAAGCTCAAGGAGCTGCAGTCGTACTGGGAGGCGACGCGGCCGGGCTCGTACCCGGGGGAGGCGCGTTTCATCGAGAACCCTCGGATCGCGTTTGCGTACGACGCGGTGCTGGCGCTTGCGCACGCTTATGCGGAGGTTGTAGAGGGGGGTCAAGACGTGCGGGACGGGGAGGTGGTGAGGAGCGCGCTGGGGCGAGTGAGCTTCAAGGGGGCGTCGGGAGAGGTGTCGTTCGACTCGAACCTTGACCGAATCGGCTGGAGGTATGCTGTCGAAGAGTCATGTTGGCGGCGATCTGACTTGCTCTCAGTTACCTGCTGATCCAGAAGTCAAACCTCGAGCTCACCGTGATCGCCGATTGGCTCGGGGGGCAGGTGACAACTGTCGTCCACACGCAGGAGCCACGGTCCTCCTGGGCATCCAAGGTCATCGTAGCACAGATCAACAACGGCCTTGTCTTGACTTGCAGTCACAACATGAACGTCGCGTACCTCGCTCTTGCCATCGTGGTGCCTGTCAGCTTGTCCATCCTGCTGCTGGTGTACTCGTTCATCAAGTACAAGAAGGCCAACGCCGACAACTTCTGGAAGATCGACCCCAAGGAGATTCACTTCGACGAGCCTCCTCTCGTGCTAGGTGAAGGCCTGCTGGGCCCAATCATCCAGGGATATTACCGAGGATCCACAGTAGCGGTCAAGAAGCACCTCCCTTACGCTAACTTGCACTGCCCGTCGAGCTTTTTCAAGGACGTGTCCCAAAATGACTCCGAAGCATCCACTTCCTGCAACCTGTCCAGCTACATCTTCAGGATCAAGCGGAGGATCAGCGATGTTGGAGCTGAGAACTCTCTGAGGAAATGTTTCCTCCATGACATGCGCATGATCTCGCGCGTCAGGCACCCATGCATCACAACGGTGATCGGAGCAGTGACGGCTGGTCGCTCTGGCTCGTCGCTGGTGCTGGAGTACATGGAGTACGGGTCGCTCTACGACTTGTTGAGGAACAACACAGTCAGGCTGGAGACAGAGATCATGCTTGACTTGCTGCAGGACATCACGAGCGGCATCATCTTCCTCCACAACTCGAACCCCGTCATATGTCACAAGGACCTCAAGTCTCAGAACGTTCTCATTGACGAGAACTTCCGAGCCAAGATCACAGACTTCGGCCTGTCCCAGAAGGAGAAGCTGGGCCAGCTCTCCTTTGCCTGGCTCGCCCCTGAGGTGATCAACGGCGGCGACTTCACCGTCCAGAACGACTCGTACGCCTTCGGCATCCTCCTCTCTGAAATCTACAGCCGCAAGGATCCTTACGAAGGGGAGGACATCAGCACCGTCCTCCGGGAAGTCGCTGACCTGGGAAGGGAGGTGGACAAAAGACCCTCCCTCCCTCCCAACGTCCCTGGCGAGATCCTGGGATTGATCAAGGACTGCTGGCACAAGCAGCCCGAGTACCGCCCGCTCTTCCCCGAGATCTCTCGCAGGCTCAAAGCTCTCGACTCCCGGGAGGAGTTTCTCAGCCCCATAGCGCGATCGATCCATCGCGAGTCGATCATGAGGGAGAGCTTCAAGAGGGCCAACAGCCTCCTCTATGATGTCTTGCCCAGACACATCGCTGACGCGCTCAAGGACGGGAAGCCGATCGAGCCGGAGAGACGAGAGGTCGTCACCATCTTCTTCTCTGACATCGTCAACTTCACGACCATCAGCTCCAAGTTGGAGCCCTGGAAAGTCTCCAAGTTCCTGGATCGCCTCTACTCCAACTTCGACAGCTTCGCGCAGGCTCACGGGGTCTTCAAGCTCGAGACGATAGGAGACGCGTACATGGCCGTCACCAACCTCCTCGAGGATCAGGTCGAAGATCACGCGGTCCGCATCGCCAGGTTCGCACTGGACGCCATCGAGTGCGCGTCTACCACCCTCCAGGACGAGGACGCGCCGGAGCTCGGGACCCTCAAGATCAGAGTCGGGATCCACTCGGGCCCGGTGGTCGCCAACGTCATCGGGAAGCAGCGGCCTAAGTACACGCTCTTCGGGGACGCGGTGAACACTGCTTCACGAATGGAGTCGACTTCTATCCCCGGCAAGATCCAGTGCACGGAGGTGAGTCGAGGTGAACTTCGTACCCTGCGTGATGATGTCTGAGCAGGAGACGGCGAGGATCCTGCGGAAGCAGCTCAAGAGCATGGAGCAGGACGTCTTCTTGACGTCAAGAGGGGACGTGCTCGTCAAGGGGAAGGGGTTCATGAAGACCTTCTGGATCTCTCGCTTCCCAATGAAGTGGGACTTTGCTCTCGATCCAGCATTTCTCAACGAGAAAATTCAGAGAGCGCCCTCAATCATGTCGAAGGTGACTCGCTTTCCCTCCTCCCTCCTCTCCCCTCCCCTCCTCCCCCTTCCCCTCCTCCTCCCGCCCCGTTCTCGTTGATCTCAACCAGCCGCTGAGTGTCCATCAGGGGAAAGAGGAACGAAAGAGGAGGACGAGCCTGTTCAGGTTCAACAGTGTCATCCAATTCTAACATGGGATGGTGCTGGTGTACTATAGGTCAAGGGTTGATTCCCATGTAGATGCTGTCATATTTCATAAGTTAATGAAAGAGATTTGAATGAGTATCCTGACGGTTTCATGCCTCTAATCCTGCATAACTGAGCTTGCACCTCCTCTTCGCTCCCACATGGCTGAATGCAGTCAGTGTTGATCCACACCCTCCTCCTTTCGGCGTCCAGTTTGCCCACGGAATCCCTATCCTCCCTCTCTACCTCCTCTCCCTCTCTCCTCCGTCCTGTCTGTCTGTCTGTCTGTCTGTCTGTCTGTCTGTCTGTCTGTCTGTCTGTCTGTCTGTCTGTCTGTCTCCCTCCCTCCCTCCCTCCCTGACTCACCGAGTCGCTACCTGCCTGCTATACTCCCTACCTTGCCATACTGCCGCCCATCCTTGTCAAACTTTTCAAGGTATGAGTACCCTACCCAGGCCTATCAAAATTATCCGTCACCCGTACCTTCAAATTAGTTCGAACCGGTGTTTCAACGAAAGTACCCACCCTTATCTCCGAGCATATTGCCCGGGAAGATTCGATGCAGCAGGTGCGAACACTCGAGCAGTATGAGGAGGAGGAGGAGGAGGAGCACAAAGATCAGGAAGAGCCGCAGTGACAGAGTATCATGCAGTAACAAGACGAAGGGTTGGAAAAGCGAACAGGAAGGGCGTGTAGAGGAGGAGCAATCAGCTTTCATGGAGCGACTGATGGCCGTTGAAGGTGGTTCACAGTCTCAAGGACGCGGTAGACAGTCTCCGCTCACACAGGTATCCCACCCATGGCGATCTCGTGGGGCAGTTCAAACGTTGATCGCGATCTTCTCCCACCAGCTGCAACATCCTCGTCGCTCGGAGGATCGGCTTCGGCGATGACGGCGCGGTCGCCATTGCAAATGCGCTGAAGGCGAACAGAAGTGTTGCGGTAAAGAAAACAGTTGCTTCCTCCCTCCCTCCCTCCCTCCCTCCCCCTTCCCTACCATTATGACGACGCATCTACCGCAGCTCCGCCGCTGTCTTCCTAACACGACTGACCCGCCTCCCTCCTAGGAGCTCTACTTGTCTTTGAACTCCATCGGACCGCGGGGGGCTGCCGAGATCGTGAAGGCGGCAAAGGGGCATGAGACGCTGAGAGAGCTCTATCTAGGATACAACTCGATGTTGTCCCTGCTTCCATGCAGACTGTGTGCATGATGGCCGGATGACGTTCTTGCAGAGGAGACAAGGGAGCGCTGGATATTATCGAGGAGCTGACAGCGCAGGGTGAAGCATGCACCTTGAAGGTTCGCTCCTCTCAATTCTATCATCATCCTCATCCTCATCCTCATCCTCATCCTCATCCTCATCCTCGTCCTCATCCTCATCCTCATCATCATCATCCTCATCATTCATGGTCATCATGATGCGATGGATTGCATTTGACATAACTCAAGGTTTTGGATCTCGACGACAACAATATCTCGGCGAGCAACTTGTACAAAATCCCCACCATCATCACTACCGGGTAGCAAAGAAAGGTTCCCCTCGCTCGTCACCTGATACTTTCTTGTGCAGATACTTCAACGAGAAAGAGAAACCGCAAACAGAAAGTGTTTTCACTCAAGGGTTCCTACTGCCGATCGTTCGCAAAGAAGAAGTCGAGTGCTGATGTAGTTCGCCTCTGGAGAGTGCCAACCAAACAAGCACCGAGGCGATCACAAACATGTGATTTCTTCCATGCCAAAATCAGCAATGTTGATGTCTTGTTGCTCCGACACGAACGATTATGCTTGAAAACATGATGGTCGACGACAGCACACAACAAGACTTGGCCAGCTCTTGGACAGGACACAAGATATAACTTACCAAATCAAAACCAGACCGGCTGCGAAATGGTATATTCTGAGTGAATGCATCATGACATTTTATCCAATCCCTTTTCATCGCATTTCTTCCACTCTCTCCATCTCATCACCTAATCTTTCGCTCTCTACAATTCGAACGAAAGATCTCCGATACCGAGCCCAATCTCACTTTCCCTCATTGTTCCCTCCTGTTGCTAGCGAGTCTCCTCATGCCCTTCTCCTTTCCTCCTCTCATCATCTCCTACTCCCTCCCTCACTTCTCCCTTCCTCCCTTTCATCGCGGATCTTCCTACTTCGCCATTACAGCTCCTTGAACCATGTTTGCAGGACTTCGGCAAGGTGTTGAAAATAGGGGTAGGGTACGTGTTTATTGGGTAAGTACCGGTGATAAGAAGGTATCTTGACCAGGTAGGGTGATTTCGGGAAGGTGAGGCGTAGCAGAACGAATGTCAATGTGGGGTGGGTACACCCGTTGGGGTGGATGTGAAATATCGTGGTGGTACCGGAGATGAGGGGGTAGTGGTTGCAACGTATGGTCAGGGAAAGCACATGGGTGGGGGTAGTATCTAGTGTAAAGTATGGAAAAGGACGGGTGGTGGTCCTGACAAGGGGGCTAGTTTGTTGACAAGGGTAGTGACAAAAGATAAGGGGTAGGTGGTGGTATGTTTTTCGAAAAGGGTTGGTGGTGTTAGGGGTGACGATGGCGGGAATTTGAAGGGAATGCAGAGACTGAAATCCTCTCGCCTCCTGCCTGTCTACCCCCATGCTCCCTCCCTCCCTTCGTCCCTCCCTCCCTCCCTCCCTCCCTCCCGTCCTCCCTCCCGTCCTCCCTCCCGTCCTCCCTCCC